TGGGATTTTCCACCTTGGCAAAAGAAATTGTTCCGTAATCAGGAAGTTTTACACAGCCTGGCCAGACTTCCTCGGTCAAATTTCCCAAGACACTGAAAATTCTGCTAATTTGATCTATATCAGAAGTGCCTGGGAAGAGGGGTTTGAGGGTCAAAAGCTCAGCAAAAATACAGCCCAAAGACCACAGATCAACCTCCAGGCCATAGTCTGTGGATCCATAGAGCAGTTCTGGAGCCCGGAACCACCGTGTTCCAACACATGAAGTGAGTGAACCACACCCATCGTTCTCAGCATCCTCAACCTCATATGAACAGTAACTCTTCAACATATCATCTCCCAAGTCGCTTGCAGTACCCGTTGCAAAACAAGAAGTATCTCCATCCCGAATACTCATTTCCTTATCAATGTCATCTAATGAACCCTGAATCTTGTAGTTGCCCATCTCTCGAAATGATTCTTCTCTACTAATCATACCTTGCTTTTCATTTCTATGTCCTTCTTGAGATGAGCTGTCTATCTCAGGAACAACTTCAGCTGGTGGAGTAGCATGTTCATGAAATAACGGGTTCTGTTCATATGGTTGAATGTTCTCATCGGCTGCAACGAACCCAGGCTCCATGAGTATCCTCGCCTGGAAATAAAGTAACAATTAGCTTTTCACAACTTAATAACTACAAAGAGAAAAACTTCAACTCGTCACCACATCAACATTCACCCAGAGGACCAATCTCACCAAAACATTAAGAAATGCCAAAGCAGAGTAGAGATTATGAAGAATGCAACGACCTCAAATGATCATTGAAGTAAGATAAGAAGTTCGAATCCCCTTTTTTGCTGAATTTCTTTCTTCCATTCAAACAAAATGCATCAAAGACCAAGAAAAACTAGTCTAGCCAATTCAAAAGGAAGACCATGAAAAATTAATCTAGCCAATTCAAAAGGCAGACCTAAAGCATCAAAGATTTAACATTTGCTCGCTAAAAGCAATATTTTATGCATAAATGGTTACTGATACAAAAAACACTCGGTCTATTAAACATTTGTTTACTGCAGCAAGATCCAATACAGACCCTACCATAATCAATCAATCTCCTTAAAAAAGAAAAGAAACCCATTATTTACCTGGCCAAAATCAGCCAACTTAAGAACCCCATCGTCAGAAACCAACAAATTACTAGGTTTCAAATCACGATGCACGATCATATTCCGATGACACGCATCAACCCCGCATAAAATCTGAACCATCCATCTCTTAACTTCTCCAACACTAATGCCAACACCATCATCCCTCTTTTCCCCTTGCTTAATAACAGCAGCCATGTCAGTTCTCAAGAACTCCAAAACAAGCACAGCATCCTCGTCTTCTCTCCAAAAATACTCGTGCAAAACGACGACGTTTGGGCAATTCTGGAGGACCTGCAATGCCTCGATTTCTCTAGATGCAGACTGGTAGTCGTGGATTTCTTTGAGAGCCACTGTGAGATTGTCGGAGTGACGCCTGGCTTTGTACACGTCGGAGTAGGCGCCGGAACCAATTCGTTCTTGGATTTCGTATTTGGATATGATTTCGGGTCGGGTGTGGATGCTCCAGCTCTTTGCGGGCGGCGGAGATCGGTCCATTATGGGTTGTGGCAGGTTTTGATTGGACTTCTTCCTTTCTCTCCTTTTTGTCGGAGCTTCGTTGTGTTGTTTTTAGGTTTATATATATAAATTGGTTTTTATTTTTAAATTATTTTTTATAAAATCATTTTTTCCCACTTTTTTTAGACTAAAAGATACACTAAATGAGTTTCATGTTAATTAAAATTAACCTTTTTTTTAATGATGCACTCTTAAATTTAAATATAAAAAATCAATAAAAAAACATATTTTCTTATCGATAGAAACTTTAATAATGCATTAAAGTAGCTATATGATTATGTTTTGTTATGGGTTGTAAACTTCCTTGCGGGTAAACATGTTTCTAAACACAACAACTCTTTTAGAATCATTTTTTTAAAATCTACTTAGATTCATTGTTTTATTCTTCTTAACATATTTTATTCTATATTTATTAAATTGTATCACATATTCATATTAGCAGGTTTATTTACTTACCTCAAGTTTTTTTATTAGTTTAAATTTTTTTTTCTATAAGAACAAAACATATATTTTTTTTGTAAACTAGTTTTCATCCCAACCCAATCAATAATAAAATATTGACTTTTCTTCACAAAAAAACTCTTTTACTTTTTTTTCAATAAAGTTGAGCAGTATTATTGAGTTTTATTTTAGAAAATCTTACATTTTTATTCTCAGATAAATTATATCAGTTAAAGAATTGATTCATATCATGGATCTACCTATTAAAGATCTATATGTCAAGATAATCTTTAAAAGTTAAGGCTTTTACCTTGATATGTCTCATAACTCAATCATTAAAATCATCATAATTATAGTGATCCTGATTCTGGTTATACTGATGGTTCATAGGGTGAACTATTTTTTAACGGTAATTATTAGAATACTCACTATTATTAGAGTCATAAAGGTACTAGTAACCCTAGTAGTGGTCATGTTGGTGATTTTTACGGGAAATTGACCTTTAACAATTCCTTCAATTGTTACTAGCATGCTTATTTTTATTGGATTGTATTTTACTTTTTAAATAGGGTTGTTTATTTGAGTGGATATATTGTTTATATCAGTTTGTATAAGTTGTAATTGCTCTTAAATATCCTTAAAATCATTACTAGAGTTCAAGTCCATAATAATTGTAAATTTTGAATTGTATATTAGATGATTACTTTGTAAATAAATGCAATATTAATTTAAAAATTGTGATTGAGATCACAAATAATGTAAATAAAATATAATATAAAATTAAAACTAATATTTACTTGTTTATTTATCTTGAAGAATAAACAATAACAAATTAAGCTATGAAAATTAACAAGCATTTAATATTAAGTCCTCTAAATACACATTAAACACAATATTTTGATTTCTTATAAATTTAATCAAGCTTAAATATTCAAAACTAATAAATAAGTCAGTCAAAATTAAGATAGTTCAAATTGGAAGGCAGGCTATATATATTTTATGTGCGAACAATATCAATGTTAATTCTTAACAATAGCAAAATTATACCGGAAATAATGATATTTATTAGTTTAAACTTTAAATAAAGAAGTTTATAGTGGTTTGCTGACTCGAATGCAAAGGGGACACGCTGGAATTTCAACAGATGACATGGCAGTTGATATGACAGCAAGCACTGGTGTGGCTGTTGTGATGGCATGGCAGTGGTGGTTGGTGTTATAGATGATATGGCAAGGGTTAATTAATTTGGCTTGTGCAAGGGACGTGTATTTGTGGTTCTTTGTCTGCGTGGGATCGGCGGCGTAAGGGATCTATCGTGGACTCCGTGACCCTTGTGCTGGACGTTCGAGGATGTGGTCTTGGGCTGTTGTGAGATTCGAATCACGGTTGTCACAGCTGGTTGAACGAGGCAGTGGTTGTCGCATCGTGGTGGAAGCGACCGAGTCTATTGTGGTGAGTGGTGGCTCCTGTCAGTTTGTGGTGCTGATCAGTTGATTGTTGAAGACAAAGATTTTCTGCTTGTGGCGTGAGAGATCTGGCCAGTTCTTAAAGATGAATAGTTTTTTTTCCGCTGTAGATTAAAAGACTAAAGGGATTTTTTTTTTTTTTATCTAGATCAACTATTGCTAAGATTTTCACAGGCCCTAGTAGGTCGATTGATTGTAATAACAATTAAAAATCCGAAACTCTAATATTAAAATTCATGCGAAACAATAAATTAAAAAAATTAAAAATAAAGTTAAGAAAAAAAATTCAAGAAAAAAAACTCTCGCACAAACTGAAAGTGAAAGAAAAATATATAAACAGCGTAATTCTAAGACATCCGATCCGCACATCATTTAAAACTATTTAAAATAAATAAAATAAAACAATATAATATATCCAAATGAGCTCAACGACTGGATCACCGCATATCGTCTTCGTCGTAATATAGATATGGTGTCCTCACTACAACCAAATATAACCCTAAACCAGGACAGATCGCTGGGGCACCTGCAGATGCAACCAACCTTCTGTACAAAAATATTTAACGATGATGAAACTCGCTGGGGCACCTGCAGATGCAACCTTCTGTACAAAAATATTAAATGATGATGATGAAACCATATCGGTCACTGCTCTCCTGGGTCTACGTACTTGATTTTGGACTGGCAGAGAAAGTGAGTAGCCTGAAAAAGAGTGCAACATGGGCGTGGGGCCATCTTGATCCATCTAATCGAGAGGTTTCTAATTTATGGTCTTGCTCGAAACAGACAAGGATGGTGGCTGATCGAGATGATACCATCCGCCACATTCATGAATCAACAACCTACTTTTCCTGCTTATTGTAGAGAAGTTTAAAATTTTGTCTACGATTTGTGTTCACTATTTTATGTAAAATCAGTAACTTTAAGGTAAGGCACTCAATTTGATTACCCCAGTAGTTTTTCTTAAGGATTTTCTGGTTATGTAAAATAGAGAGTAATCAATCAACAAGCATCACCATGCCAGCTCCAGTAACTTTTCTTCTTTTTTTCTTTTTTTTGTCTTCTAAAGAAACATCATGTATACCATCCTTTTACTTGAAAAAGGCAAACAAGTTATACTAAACTTGAATGAATTTACTTCACTACATTAAAATTACAAGAGAGAATGAACAATTCCCTCCATGCTGCTTCTAATCAAGTTTATAGATGCTTCTACACAAGAAAATTGCTACTCCATAATATTTGTAACACAAGAAAATTGCTACTCCATAATATTCCATACACACAAAGAAAGAAAATTATAGATGCAATCAGCGGCTGCTAGGAACCAGCATTGAATACCCAAAAGTCCCTTAAAAAACAACGATGCTTCAAGAGTGCGGTGGTGTTTTCAATCCATTCTGCCATCCATCAACCTATGCGACACAACCTCCACACACGATGCTCCTGCAATAGATAAAAAGCACTAGCCTATTTAACGGAGAAACTTAAGTATCCATGTATGTAATTAAGATATTGCAGGCGAGGAAAAGGATGATTCAACTACTCAAGTTCAGAAATATAATGGATTCAACCTTGGTTGACCATAATGATGAAGAGAAGACCACAGCTACTCATGAGTCCTGACTTGTTTATGGTTGACACCAAAAACAAATACCAACAGTAAAGGCATCCCCACGATCTACCTTTTGCACACCGAGGATGGTTTAAACAGGACATCCACAAATGGAATGTTGCATTCGCATTTCTTGTGGCTTTGTCTAAGATTCAAAATCTAGACGATAACATGGGGAGACAAACTCACTTAACAACTAAGGTAAGCCACTAAGGGTTGGACTTCAATATTCTTTGGTTCCTGCCAAATACGCACCTCGACCAATGTATCCATTTTTGGATTCTCAATGTCGAGGTTAGATGTCCAAATAGTCCACACAATCAAATGAGGGAAAAAGGCTAATAGACTTGTAATTGGTTGCGAGAAACCTTCCCTTTGCCAAGCCTCTGTATTTCTTCCCACTCCCTTTTTATCATCTACTACCTGATTCTAAATTTATTTGGCAACAGCATTGCAGTAGAGCAATGGGAATAATCAAACAAGAGAAAGCAGAATGAAGTACTAACGCAATAGTGCAACCAGCACTTCGGCTCCTTTTCTTCCTTGCCATCTCCTTCCTCCTTGGAGGTTGAATAACAACCTTGATTGCAGTATCAAAAACAGCTTTGACATTCTGAATGATCAACCACAAATCATTTCATGCACTAATCATCGTAAGGAAACGAAAAGGGAAAAGAAAAACTGGACTTTCAGAGCACCATATAAAACATTTCTCAAAGCTAAGAATCACGCAAGGTAATCTACCTGCTGAGTCTTAGAGCTGCACTCAATATATGCTGCTGCACCAATCTGCTTCCTGAGCTCCTCCCCCTGGTTATATAACATAAGATCTTTGTAGCAACTGTATGCCACACAAGAAAAATAAACTCACAATTGAAGCCAAAAATCAACAAATACATACCTGAGCAGATGTTATGACATTAGAATTCATATGATCAACCAGATATCCTCTGTCTTCACGAAGGTCTGTAACAGATAAAATATTAAAACCTAGTAAAATACACAAAAAGCCATCTAAATAGACACGCATGGTTAGGATCAAATTTCTATTTCTCGAACTTGCTTACCCAATTTCGTTCCAACAAGAACAATCGGAACATTTGGTGCAAATCGACGCAGTTCAGGCATCCACTGAAATATCAAATTGGATGGAAAGCCTCAGTTATTGATGTATCGAGATATCTAATTCAGAAACCAAAAGCTCCTGAAGAAAATAGCCAATGTCTAGAGTCCAGGAATTACATTAATGTCAGGAGGGTGCGCAGAGTAAACAATATTAGGGTTTAATTTGAAATGAACAGTATGAGACTTTTTCCAAGAATGATCTTAAAATATCCTTGACAATTGGAAAGTGAAAAGACAAGACAAAGAAAAGTAGGAAAAGACAACAACATTAAAGTTTGTACCTTCTTAAGAACATTTTCGTAACTTGCTCTACTAATTAAGGAGAAAGCCAGCACAAATATGTCTGCACCTCTGTAACTGAGGGGCCTCAGCCTGCTGTAATCCTCCTGACCTTCAATTAAGATTAAGTTAAAGTAATTAGTCATAAATTTAGTAGCAACCAGAACCTAACGACAGACTCTGAAATTCTGACAGGCAGCATTAGAACTTAAAAAGGCTTGGTTTATGCGGACATCCAAATACCTGCAGTATCCCACAGTCCCAAATTGACAATGCTCCCATCCACAGCCACATTAGCACTAAAATTATCAAACACTGTGGGTATATAATCCTGGGAAGAGCAAACAAGAAATATGGGTCTGTGAGGGAGGAATATCCTTATATAGCCATTAACCAAAAACTTTCAAAAACTCTTACTGAAACCTTGACCAATAACGATGAAGATGAAACAACCAACAAAATAAATAAAAAAAGAAGCAATCTTTAAACAGACCCATATGGAGAAATGTCATGGGAAGTCATAAATGGAGCCAATTAAAGCAGCAAAGCCAAAAAAAAGTGAGAGAAGGGTTGTTAATGTCAAGTGGTTGAGCGAGGATGGGGATGTATGTCTTAAAACTACAGAAAAAGAATCCTTACAGTAGGGAACTTGTTGCTGGTATAACAAATGAGCATACAGGTTTTGCCAACAGCTCCATCTCCAACTGTAACACATTTAATGAACTTGGAAGCACTCATCTCCTCTTAACCTGAGAACAACTTGCACAGTAACTCTTCTTTTAACTACAGGGAGAGAGTTTGGGATATATTAAACCCTCTAAAAGGTTGAGTTAAAGCAAAGAAAGATGCTTAAAGAAGGAAAAGTTGAACCGAAGATATTAAAAAAGCTAGTGAACTGCGAACTAGAAATGTGAAAGCTGAAGGGATGATATAATAGAGGTCTTTTCTCTCGGGTCTCTATTTCTGTTGGAGGTAGAGAGAGAGAGAGATCCTGTCTTTAGTCAAAGGTCCGTCGCTCTTTATCGTCCCTCTCGAGAAATTTCAAAGCCAACAGAAATATTTTTTGAAATGCAGAAAACCGGGCCCCTCTCTCAAACGGCAACTATTCGATCCCTGCCGTTTGGATGGATTTGATGCCTCCTCCAATGTTACAGAGTAGCGTTTTGGTTGAAAATGTGTTTTTTATATAAATATATTAAAAAAATATTTTATTTTAAAAAAATTACTTTTAATATTATTAATCTACCAAATAAGAACAAGGATCCACCAAGCCATACGAACAGCTTTCTGTTCTCTATGCGCCATCGCATAATATAAAAGAGAAAATAAGCCTTGGGAACTTCAGCTCGAGAGCCAGCAAGAAAACAACAACGACAAAAACAGAGCCGCAGCCAGAGCTTCTATAAGCAGTGTTTGGCTGTTTGTTTTATATTTTAAAAATATTTTTAAAAATTTAAATTTTTTTACTATTTTTAACTTATTTTTATATCATCTTAATACATTAATTTTAAAAATAATTTTAAAAAATAAAAAAATATTATTTTGATATATTTTTTAAATAAAAAGTACTTTAAAAAACAATCTCAAATACACTTTTTATTTTTTCATGGGGCTTATTTTTTAAATTTTGATTTTTATTTTAAATTAATTTTTCTAGAATTTTTTTCATGTTTATGTAAAAATATTTTTATATAACAATTAATTTAAAAAATAATTAATACTATAATTTTAAATATTATTTTAGAAAATGTTTAGAAATATAACTGGTCGTGTATTTTTTAAAATTTAAAATTTTTAATGTTTAAATTTAATTTTTTTATATTACTAGATTGTTTTTATTTGATGTTGTTGAGTGGAAATTGAATTTAAAAAGTAAAAAGTAATATTTAAGTATATGTTTAAATAAAAATATTCTAAAAAGTAATTATTACCGATACATAAACAGTGACTAGTCGCTTGCTAAAAAACAGTACAAGTGTTTTAAAATTGGTTTCTTTCCCGACAATTGAAATGCGACCGTTAGGTAATATTGGACTAATAATATAATACACATGCAAGCGCTAGTGGGGTGGTGGTCCTTTCATGGATTGCCGTCCATCTATCAGAGATTTAGGTAGTTTTTGTTGGTAGTTATTTTAAAAAATATATAAAAAATAACGTTATTTTATATTTTAAAATTTATTTTTAACAATAATATATTAAACATTAAAATATTAAAAAAATAAAAAATCATAAAATATAGTTTCAAAATCGCTGGCATTTGTTCAATAAATATTTGCAGCAGTTTCTAAATCATTTAGATTTCTGGATAGTTTTTATGATAGTTTATCATTAAGTATTATTTTTTAAATTTTAAAAAAAAAAAATTAAATTTTTATTTTATTTTTTTGTTTCTGATTAATATTTTTTTTTATTTTTAAATCATTTTAATATGTTGATGTTAAAAATAATTTTTAAAAATAATAAAATATTATTTTGATATATTTCTAAATAAAAAATCTTTAAAAAAATAACTACAACCACACTTTTAAATAGATATTTTTATTTATAATTAAAGTTTGTTTGTTTTATTAAAAATATTTTAAAAAATTAAAAAATATATTTATTTTTATTTTAAATTATTTTGTTGTTGTCAATTTATTTTCAAACAAAAAAACCTTAAAAAACAATTTAAATCATGCTGTTAGTGTAGATTCAACAACTGATTTTGATTAAAAAAAAATTTATTTGAGCACAAGTAAGTTGATTAAAAATTTACAGAAAATGGTTCTACAGATAATCACCGAGCACGCGATTAATTACTTGTCTAGTGCAATCCTAATAGGAGTGCACTTTTAAATCACCTCTTTCATGACAGTCGCTTTAATTTAAAAGTTTTAAAGCTTAAATTGTCCTCGTGAATTGTAAAAACACCTGTAAAATGAACTCCAATAACCGCCTTGGAGTTGAAAATTCCGCATAAAGGTGAACGAAAGTTTAAATAAAGTTCTCTAAAAAAGAAAAAAAATGATAAATTGATTCATTTATGTCCCCACCTCATTGTGAACACTTCTTTTACTCTTCATGTTACCTTTAAAATCATAAAATAAATTAAAAGAGCAAGCTGATTCACTGTTGCACCTATTTTGAAGAGATGTACTGTCCATTTGGTGCCGTGGTCCCACCTATTTTTTAAGAAAATTTTAATTTTTTTAAATTAATTTTTTTAGTATTTTAAGATTGTAAATGAGGTTATTGAAGTTTTTATAATTTTATTTATATAAAAATGAGTTGAAAAATCAAGGTTTTTGGATTCAAATATCATAAAACCTGATTTTTTTTTTTAATGATGAGAGATGAATGAAATTTATCACAATAAATAACATGTCATCTTCACTTTATTTATTTGATTTAAAAAAATATTTTACAAAAAGTATTTTTAATTGAGATTGATTTGATATTTATATATATTTGTTTAAAATTATAGTTGAAATTAAGACTGAACAAAAAATAATTTATCGTAATTGATTAAAAGAATGTTTTTCAAATAAAAATTACATAATATATATATATATATTATGATTTTTAATTTAAATATTATAAATTTAATTACTGCTATTAATTTATGAAATAAATAATACTTATATTATATATTTTTTATTATTCTATTAAACTATCTATAATTTCATTAAGCACATTAGTTTCTTAAGCGTGCAATAACAGTAGTTAAAATATTATCAGGAATAAAATTTAGATTGTGATTAAATTGTGTAAATATTATGTAATAAGCTATCTTCTTCTAATTTTTTAAATAATATATAATTAAAAAAAAAATTGAATTGAATTGAATTTTTTTAACTAAATCAAACCTGATTTAATGTATTTAACTCTAGACTAAAACAATTAAAAAATAAAAAATAACTTTATTATTTATATAAACAGTGAAAAGCTCCACTATATAATAAAGTAACTTACATGTATATTCACATGTTTGCATAAAGTAATAGAGAGCTCATTTCCACGAACCTAAAGTTTTAGCAAAATTTATATGGATTCCACATCAATTTATAATTGTATCTTATTATTACCAAATAGTCTAAATGTTTTAAATACTGCTGTAGCTGTTTAAACAAACAGATATTAAACTAGGCATGCCTGGGATTTTTTTGGCTAGGCACGCAGACCTAGCAATCTAGACCCATACACGCCTAGCTTCTCTTTGCCCTCTCTTCTTGTTTTTTGTTTAACTTTTTAGCATCTTAAAATAAAAATCCTTTTAAAATAAAAATATATAATAATAATTAAAAAAATCATTTAATTGTGCCAAAAATTTAAATTAAATTAGAAATTTTTATAATTATATTTACATTTTTTTATAATTATATATGAAAATAATATACATAATATTTTAAAAAACATGCATCAACATTTAATGAGAATAAAATATATATTTTTTATTTAATTGATTGTTCTTTTATTTTCTTACACATTTGCATAAAAATTGGTTCACAAATCATGATAAGTTTTTATATAAAAATTATGCTTTTAATAAAAACATATTCTTATAAAAATAAAAATAAATAAAGAAATAAAAAGAAACATTGAATAAAGAAATACATTTTTCCTTTTAAATATAATTATTTTGAATTCTTATACGATTTTGTTTTAATTGATTTAATACTCTATTAAAGAGAAGTTATTGTTTATAAAATATTCACGGTTTTGTTTAAAAAGAAAATTGCAAAATTTTTGGATTTTTCCTCATAACTGAAACCATTAAATTTCTTTTCACATATTTTTTTTAATAGCTAAAAATTTAAATAAAAATTATTTAAAAATGATCGAGTGAAAAAAAACCTAATATTATTTTATTATAAATCATATTATTATTATTATTATTATTATACATAATACTAAAATGTGAGGTATTTTTACTATTCACAAAAACACTATTCACCTTCTGACATTTTATTCTAGATTACAATAGTTCAATTTTTTTCAAATTTTGATTTGGT